TTGCTTTTGCGTTGTTTTCAGGTTACTTTACTTCCAGTGCATCAAGGCAGCAGGGCGGGAGCGGGGGTTTCGGCGGAGCGGTGGGATGCTCTTCCCGGTGGTGCTGGGGGTCCCTGGTCCCCGGGACCGTGTCTCCCCCTCGGGAGGGTCAGCCAGCGGGAGCGGTGGTGGAGAGGGTTGGGGACATGAGGTTGTTTGCCTGCTTCACCCCGTCACAGAGGCCGGCTCCCAGAGGCCGGCTTGTGCCGGCGGTGGCTGTCCGCTGTTGATGGTGGTTATCACTTCCTCATAGTCTGCAAAGCATGGAGGCTGCTCCAGGGAGCTGAGGGGTGAGACGGCCTTTTTGCCCCAGGCCCACCCTCCTCTGGCATCCTGCTAGCTGGGTTCCCAGCCCCGGAGAGCTACCCTGTGCTTGAGGTCTGGCGGTTGGCTTGTCTCGGCGCCGTCCCGCCGGTGGGGGGAATGCCTCCCTTGGGTTAGGTCTTGGGTGCCGATGGAGATCGGCCGCTCCCCAGAGGAGCAAGGGGTCCTCTCTCTGGAACATTTATAGATGGATTTTTGACCCGGGCTAAAGGAGCAGGTCCAAACATCCTGCCACATAGCCATGTCTTTCCTTCAGTTGGACTGTTCACCATCTCTCTAGCTTTGGATAGCGTCTGCTTCGAAATGAGGGCTTCGTCCTTTTGGTGGGAAGCCCTGAAACCCGCAGTCAAGGTATCATTTCCTAAAACTACCATGAGATCATCTTTGGACAAACACATCCACGCTATTGCAGGTGGCTCTTTATTCTGAAATTCAAATAACGCATCTCCTCTCTGCAGCTGCGATTCTACCGTGGTTTGCTTCTTGTCTTAAAAACACTTTTGGTTTTTGCGTAATATGTTCGAAACCTGCTTATGTGAAATCTATATGGGAGAGGGGATGGAAACAACACCTATTTGACAGCTCCCTTGCTCAGTTTAAAGGGCTTTTTAACATCATGGGACAGCGGAGCGGGACTTTGCAGGTGCTGCCGCACCGGTGCAGGGCATACTGAATAGAGACAGACACGTACAGAGCACAGCAAATACCAGAGTACACTCTCTCGATGCAAATGGGCTGCAGGAGCACACGCCTCGCCCATGGTGACCTGTCTGTCTGGCTTTTCTCTGCTGATATTTGAGTTTATCTACCTGTGATATTTCCTTGTCAGCCCAGGCAGAGGGTGCCCGGGGGGGGACTGACCCGCTGCCCGGGCGCAGCTCTTGGGTGCCCAGCGCAGCGAAGCCGGCGCGCGGGGGCTTGGCACGTCGTCGCCACGAGAAGCTGTTTGTGAGCTGACTTCGCCCGCGCCGGCGTTTTGTCGGTACAGCCACAGCTGCTGCTGACCCGGTCTGCCTGCCCGCCCTCGACCCGGTACTGCCTTGCGCGCGCTCCGTATCATTGACCAGTCCTTAATAAATAGCACCACCGGTTGCCTGAGATTTTAATTTTGCTTCCCTCCCGCCCTCTCCTCCCCCAAAACCACACATGTCATGCTTCAGCTTTGTGAGGACGTGCTGGACGGGTGGTGACTGTGGCTGGGGGCGGGTTGGGTTTGGAGCAGCTTACGTCAAGGCAAGAGGGCTTATCCCCGTGCGGGTTGTCTGATGGGACCTGTTGTGTTGAGCAGGACCACGGCTCTCCCAGCTCTAATCACGCTTTGTGTCCCTGCCTACCCTCGTCCTGTGCCCCAATGTCTCCGTGGAGTCCCAGAAACAAACGCGCCGTGTGCGTGGCGGAGCGCAGCTGGGGCTCCAGACGCTGCTGGCTGAACCCTGCTCCCTCCTGTAGCTCCCGCGCGCGAAATGTCGGGGCTCGGAGGGGGTCGCAGCCAGCTCTTGTCTGTGATAGCCCACGTGCTGCGTTGGCATCGCAGCCAGGGAGCGTTTGCATGAAAAGCCCCTTTTGTGATCCCTGCTCCTCGCTGGTCCCCGGCGTGGGGACCGCAGCGGGGCGGCTCTGCCCACGGGCTGTGGACTTCTCGCTGTCCTGCTCGAGGCTCACCCTTCCCCGTGACCTCGCCTGGCTCTGCGCATTAAGGTGCTGCGAGTGCTGCTCCCTCGGCTGGACCGCGTGGGCGGGGGCAGCCCCTGCAGCGAGGCGAGGTGGCCACACTCTTCCTCCACGACCAAATTCTCCGGTTGGCTTGCTTGGCTGGTATTTCTTGCTTTCCTGTTCCTCCTTTCCCTGTCGGGTTTGCAGGGTGCCTGGAGGCTTTGGCTTGATTATTTGCCAGGGAGTTAAACCCATGATTACCACGCCTGTCTCTTTGCAGCGCCGTGGGTGCAGGCCGGCATGCGTCGTGCTTTGGGGCATGAATCGTAGCTCCTGCTAGGATTAGGTTCCTCTTGGCGTGAAGTACGTCCCAAGGCTCGGGTCCTGCCTGAGGACTTTTTTCCTCTTTCTTCGGCATCTTCCTTAAACTCAGGCGGGTCCTCTGTGTTTCCAGCATGACCCTGTGCGGCGTTGGAGGAAGGCAAGTTAAACTGCGCTTGCTGCTTTATTCTCTGATAGAGGTGAGGAATCTGTGTCTGAAAGGTGCCACAGTTTCTCCCTGCTCCAGGGAATTCCAGAGTAGGAAAGTAGCATCTAGGAGGACTCAGCAGAGATGTGAAGACATCTTCTGCTACCACCCCCTCGCTGAGTTTTATGAACTTTGTTTTCGGGTGGGTGACATGGCCTTGGCTCCCCCGCCTCCGTGCAGTTTTGCCCCCTTCCCAACCCTGGTGTGATGTTTCTTCTCCGTCCCCGAGTTGCAGTCTGGCTGGTTTCTTGCTGACAACACCACTAATATGTATAATTTTGCAGCTGAAATTATCAGCAGGCTGGGGGTGATCTGCAGGCATAGCTGGGCGGAGGCGGGGATGGAGGGTCCAGCTAGTCCCGATGGCACTTTGAATAGCCGTTGTCCTCGTGCACGACCTTTCAGCCTGCCCTAGGGCTGTTCTCACCATCCCAGCAGCCTTTCTTCCAGGAAAATCTTTAGGCTTTGGAAGGTATGTCTGAAAGCAGAGTTAGGTTTGCGGCACATGGATTTTCACCCTGTTGTGCGTCACGGGAAGACAGCGTGTTGCGCAGTACCTGTATCCTGCGCTGGGTAAGGCCGACAAGGTCCTCGGTGTCTCCGGTGATCTGCCGCCTTCGGAGCACACCTTGCAGCGCGTAGCTAAGGCATCTTTCAGTGCTGTCTGGCTCCAGGTGACGGTTTTGTAGCAGGGGAGTGGGTGGTTCTGGCTGGAGGAGCAGCGTGGATCACCACCGATCTAGTGGGACTGGGACGAGAAATCAGGGACAGAAAGGGCTCCTCTCCAGCAGCCTTAAAACTCCTCGTCGGCTTCTGCGGGTGGCCCCAGCAGCCCCCCCAGCAACTGCGGTGCTCTCTCCCCTTCAGACTCCCTGTATGCCTCCGAGTACTTCTCCCAGAGCGCGCAGAAGCTGTCCTTCTACAGCTGGTACGGGAACGCCAAGCTCTTCCACTTCCGTGTACCAGAAGACACCGTGCTGCTTCGCTGGCTCCTGCAGGCGTCCCGGGGGAAAGGACCCGAGTGCACCAGCATGGAGATCGCCGTGTACGTATGTCCCCGTGCCAGTGCTTGCCCACCTGGGCTTCCTGCCCTTCTCTTGTCCTTGTTGCCCATGGCCGTGGTTGGTTGGTCGTAGGAGGCTGGGTGTCTGTTCCCCAGTTGCAGCAGCCGTAGTTTCTTAATGTACTAGCAGTAAAGTTGTGTTTAAACCTGTAGGAGCATTTTGTGTCCACGTTACCAGTGGATCTGGGGTTGTCTGTCAGACGTGCTGTCAAAGAGCCTCCTTAGAAACACTGGAGAGACCTTCACAGTGAGGCTGGTGTCGCTGCTCATGAGCAAAGGGCTTCCTGGACCTTCCTGTGCCTGGCAGGATCCTGCGCGTGGTACCGGAGGATGTGGCAGGACTACAAGGGGCTTGAAAGGACCCCAATCGGTTGGAGATGGAGAAATTCCGCGGTACAGAGGAACTGAAGAGACTGGGGATGCTTTGTGAGGGATGCAACTGTGTGTGGAGCAGGGATAGGAGAGGAATGCCCGACTCCTGCAGACACAGAGCATGAGAAGATCGCAGGCTCAATGCCAGGGGAAGAAATGCTGCTTAAAGCAGTACTTGAGTTGTTGGAGGATTTGAGGTCAAAAACTTGCAAGACTTTGAGCTGTATCTTGGGAGGGTACCAAGTTCCCTGGGCAAGTTGTGCCCATGGAGACACGTGGGTCTCTGGCACCCACTCCACAGAGGTCTCGGGAAGCTGCTTGGCTTGCGCTTCCCTGGTCCGTCCCGGGCACAGGACCGGTGCTCTTAATTGCTCCGGAGCAGGCTGGCATAGACGACCTTCCTACTTTCTGCTTCCCAGAAAGGTTTCCAATAGTCTGGGGTTGTGAGGGACGAGGCAACAGCTAAACCATACCCTAAGAAACGAAGACCAGCCCGGCTAAGCTGAAATGGGTTAATAAGACATCACCCGTCACCTTTGCTTGCTGGACCTGTTAACGTTCTGTTGCAGTGCAGTCCAAAAGCGAGCAAATTAAATGCCAAATTGGCTGCCCGGATAAATATCTCACGTGTTACTTAGCTGCCTGCTTTCCTGCTGCTCAGACGTTGGGCTGCTTCTCTGGAAAGCAGAAGTGCTGGTGTACTGAAGCCGGTCACACGGCCCTTCCTTGGTAAGCATCTTTTTAGTCTGCCCGCCCTCCTTAAAAGAGGAAATGGGGAAGATGCAGATCTTAGCTAGAAAGTGGAAGCTCTTCGTTGATCGTTTAGCCTATATGGGGAATTTGCTGATGGTTAATAAAAAAGGAGTAGTCTTGCAGCTGGGGCTTAACCTTTGTACGTGTGGAAACTTGCTTTCAGGCTTGATGGAACCATGTAAACCCTTATCTTAATAAGCAGCCGAGTTAAGCCTATCTTTAAATAAAGCCCGGCTAAGCTAATAGCAGTCGGTCTCCACCAGATAAAAATGATGGCTCTTGTGGCCCAGTTGAAAAAGTGGGGCTTTTCCAGCCTGCTCCCTCTTCGATCCCGGCGAACCTGGGTGTCCAGTGACGAGTTTGTATCCCAGTTTATCTTGCCAGTGTCTTTACATCCTTCGATTTATTTGTGTTCTGGTTTCCCTCACAGGCACTTTCGCTACGGAGCCCCTCCTGTGATTAATCCGCTGGGCACTCGTTTTCCCTCAAATGCGACCGTCCGTCCTTCCTATAACATAAGCATCACTCTGAGCAGTGCTGTGCAGAACACCACCTTTGTGAACGTCACCACGCCTGCCGCCGGAGACTGGTTCATCGCTGCCCATCTCCCTGAGGCTGCTGGCAGGATTGAAGTGAAGGTGAGGGTGCTGATGAGGGTCTCGGCCATCGTACCTTGCCCAGTGTGTCTCGCCACAGCTGACCCGTCTGCTCTCCCCTCCTGCAGGGTTTCTCCACTCCGTGCCCCTATATGTTCCAGGCTGACATGTTTGTGCTCAGGCTCACCGATATACCTGTTCTGGAGCCTGGTGTTGCTATGCCGCAAACCATCGTCGCTCCTGCGAAGCCACTGCATCTCAAGTGAGCGGGAGCAGCGGACGGGACAGCCCGGGGCCGTGAGGGGGTGGGATTTCCCACGGGTGCTGCTTAGGGGAAGCCATTGTTGCTCCCGCGTGGGGGTGGAGCTGGGGGGTCTCTGAGCCTGTTTGCGGAGCTCCCCGCGGCAGTGGGAGGGTTTGCATGGGGAGCACATGAGCACCCTTCTCCCACTCTTCCCGAGTGGTCTGAGAAGGTCAGCTGTGGGAATTTCAATTCTTTGAGACGTTGCCCTTGGGAAGGATTTTCACAACACCAACCAGGGCAATCTAGTTGTGCTGGGCTTGGCTGGGATCGAGTTAATTTTCTTCATAGTAGCTAGCATGGGGCTGTGTTTTGGATTTGTGCTGGAAACGGTGTTGTTAATACCGGGATGTTTTTGTAATTGCTGAGCCGTGCTTACGCGCAGTCAGGGCCCTTTCTGCTTCTCGCCCCACCCCACCAGCGAGTGGGCTGGGGGTGCACAAGACGTTGGGAGGGGACACAGCGGGGACAGCTGACCCCAACTGACCAAAGGGATATTCTGGGCTTAAACCATGACACTAGTTCTTGCCACAAAGCCCCGGGGCCTGTGGTGGGTCGTGGCTGGCTTGTGTTGAGAGTACAAGCTCAGTAAGCTGCTGGTCCCCCCTCCTGCAGGGTCTTCGTTCCCAAGCACGCCTCAGGGATGCGGTTTGAGCTGCGCAGCTGCGTGACAAGCGAGCGAAAAGTGTGCGCTGTGCGGGTAGTGCTGGGCTCCATCACGCTGCCCCAGTCCTTCCAGAGGATCGTCACCTGCATGGGGAACGTAAACTGCAGCCTGGCCCTGGACTCGCCCCCCTGGGAGAAGTGGCTGCAGATCACGGTGGATGGCCCTGCCAATGCCACCGTGTCGGTGGAGGTCCTGGCTTCCTTCACAGGTGGCCTTCCGCTTTCTTTAGTCCTATGGCGATGACCAGAGAGAACTTTGTGTCTGCTGTGTCTCTCTTGAGCCTTTGGGTGGCTGGCAGCAGTGGCCGGCGTGCCACAGCGTGCTGGTTGCCTGGGCATAACCTTGAGGGCTGAGACCTAGTGCTTGCTTTGGGGTCTGAAGCGAAGGCCCCCGTGTTCGCCCAAGGGGTGATACTCCCTGGAGCTGCCTGTTCTGGAAAAGTTCGCGGCCTCTGAAGCAATCGTATTTTTCCAAAGGCTGTTTGGGATGCGGCGGCTGGCTTAAAATCTGGTGGGGAGAATAGTTTTGGGTAGCTGCACCAGGCTGTTGTACGTTGACTGTAATGATACGTTGACTGTCGACTGTCCATAAGCGGGCTACAGACGGGAAACCGTCTCACCAAGGTTTACCTTGGGTAATGTCTTGGGTTGTAGTGGGGGGATGTCACCATTTCAGGTGATGCCTTGTGACTCGGGAGGCCACAAGGTCCTTGTAGCTGTGATAGGCACCTTGGCATCCTCTTATTAAGTGGCCGTGATCCCTGTTTGACTCTCGGAGTCTTGGAAGCTCACCAGCTAGGTACGTTTTTTTTAAGGTTTTCTTCTGCTGGGGGTTCTGCCATCCCTTCCTCAAACCAGAGCCTCATCCCGTGTGCTTGAGGGCCTGGCACTGGCAGCCGAGGTGTTAGAGGGGAGCACTGGAGTCTCTGGGAGCGACGGGCAGGCTCCAGCAGTGGGACTCCAGGCGTCACCTTCAGCTCCAGCTGCCACGACGTGATGGCTGGTGCCTGTAGCTGCACTGGGTTAGCTCCTCTCCTCTGCTCAGCCTCGTCTGCTCGGCTCTGGGGAACTGGTGGAGGCTTTTATGCAGCCTGCGGTTATGGGACAGCTGAGCGCTGTGCCACTGGCCAGTGGTTACTCCCTGGGTACGCCGATGTGTTAGGATGCTGTGTGTTACCCCTTCTTCTGCTCCCCCTTCCCTGCAGCTCCAGGGTGCTTCCACCCACTGTCTGGCTTCCATCAGTGTCCCAACTTGTGGGTGCTGAGGCTCGAGTTCATGGTGCCTTTTGGGGGCTGTAGCCAATACTGCAGAGCATGAACCAGCTGCAACACGCCCAGTTTGTGCCATCGCTTGAAGGTCTGGAGCTGCTGGGGCCCTGCCTGGATGAGGTGCTAGTCCTGGCTGTGCTGATTCCTCTCCTGTTTTGCTTTACAGCTTGCAGACCAGGAAGTACCAGTTCATTCCTTAACTTCAGCAGCCTAAACCAGAGCCAAACTGGTCCCAGACCAGGTAGCACAGGAGCCGCAGGGAGCTCCGCGCTGTCTACAGGAGAGGCTTCACGCAACATGTCCAACCAGAGGAGCTTCTGTCTGCAGAACCAGCCCGTTGTTCGTGAGGACCTGGACGTGGTGTCTGTGCGCTACAGGCTCTTGAACGGTCCCAGCGTGCCTGTGAACTCCCTCTCCCCGACCCTCCTCCTCCTCAACCTGAACACTGGCATGGACAGCGGGGGTTCCCTCGTGGTCACTCTCCTGCTTAACAAGGTGCGGAGGCCGATTGACGGGACTGTCTCCCCTTTGCGGGGCTTTGTCCCCGCTCCGGGGCTGGTTTGCCAGCGAGCTGTGGGGGCCGTGGGTACCGGTGGGACTACTTCTCTTTCTTTTTGTTGTCACAAAACATGCCCTGAGCCTGTTTCAGCCGCTTCCAGCGCGTCCCACCTGCCAGCTCCAAATGCCACAGCTTGCTGGCGCGTGGTGGCAGTGACGCAGAGGAGACGAAAGGGAAAGCAGCTGTGCTGCCATCTTCTCCACGGGAGCCTGGCGCCCGGCTACCAGGAGAGACCGAGCAGGGAAAGCCGGGGATGTTCCTGCCCCAGTCGCCGATTCCCAGGCTCCTTCAGCGACACCCCAAAATCAGCCCCCTGAAATTCTATGACACTGCCGGGGGGCTGGCGCGGGGCTCAGCCCTGATGTCCCGCTGCCTCTGACTTCCGCCGCCCGGCGCTGGTGCCGACGCGATGCGTGTGTGTCCCGGCTTTGGGACAGTCCCGCCATGTGCAGCGCCCCGGGAGAGTCCCTTGTCTTTCAGTCAGGGTGCCAGCGCGGGGCGAGGAGAACACGGGCTTGCCCAGACAGAGCGGCTGAACCGATGGGTGGCCTTGACCTGCAGGATTTATTGCCGCCTGCTGCCGCCATATGCGCCGGGCAGGGTGGGGCATGAATTGGGCAGGGGGGTGGCACTGCTCTGTTCGCACAGACCTCCGGGGGCCTGGCCAACGCCACCGTGGCAGCGTGCGTGAGTGCCGCGTCGCCGGTGCTGTCCCTCAACGCCACGCAGAACTGCAGCACAGGTAGGGGAGAGGCTGGCGCCCGCCGCCCGCCCGGCTGCGCCCGCTCTGGGCTTTGCTTTTAGACCTGGTGAGCTGTGAGCTCCCTGGGGGCTTTGAGGGGTGTCCGAGGGAAGCCGGTTTTGGCGCAAGCCCTCCTGAGGTGTTCGTGGGTGCTGGGGTGCGGGTGCTAGTCTGGCACCGGGAGTTAGCCCCCACCGAAGGAAGGGCTGGTTACCAGCTGGGGCTCCTCCAGGAGGTTTGGGGGTGGCCGAGGCCTTGCTGGTGTGCAGGGAAGCTGAGCTCTGCGTTGGAGGACTAGCCAAGCAAACGGCCTCATCCAGCTGCCTTGTGCTGTCCAGTCAAGTGCTGAGAGCTGAGACAGAAGCGACAAGGGTCTTGAGAGCAAGGATCCTCTCCGTCCCCCTGGTGCCTCCTGAGCGCGGGAGCAAGGGGCCGCAGGAGTATCCGATTCCCGTGCGACTCCTCTCAGCCTGGGATTACTGTGGGCCCGTCTCCCCCAGCCTTGGCCCATCACAGCACCCTCTTTTCTTTAAGCTTTTTTCCAGGGCTACCCTCTGAGCGTGAGCACGTCCTCCGCAGAGGCGATGCTGATTGTCCTGTACCCGCAGACGGATGACTGGTTCCTCTCCCTGCAGCTCGTCTGCCCGAAGGGCCAGGGGTGAGTCTGGCGTGTCATCGCGCCTCGGGGCTGCCTCTGCGCCCC